AAAAGAAACTAAAGAAAAGATAATAAACAAAAAGAAAATCTTTTTTTAAATATATAAAGAGAAAGTATCTTCCCTAAAAAAAAATTAATAAAGAATAATCCAAAACAACCCTTCCCCACAAACTGTATTTCTTTATTATTGACTCTTGACTTGTCCCTTCTTTTCCTGCACCAATTCCTTTTCTTTTTTGGTCTTCTTATTATTCTATCATTTCCTCCCCACTTCTCTGATTCTTCTTTGATTTCGTGATCTTTTAGTCCTCAGCTACGATGTCATCTTCAATGGAAGCAAAAGGTAAGATCTTCCCTCTACTCAACCTTCTGTTTCATTTTTTTTTTTCTTTTTTACTGCCTGGTTGCCGAGAAAAAGCTTTTCTCTTTGTTGTAGTAATAGCCTTAGAAATTATCAGTTAAATACCCAACTTTTGATTGTTGGTACTGGTGTGTTGAGTCCCAAACAGATCCTTAGTAACATCCATTCCTCCAAATTCTTGACCAAAAAATTTAGTTTTTAAGTTCAGTTTTGGTTCGTTGGTTTTCGATCCCTTTCACCGACCGTCGACCGAACATATATATATGATGAAATCTTGGTCTCAAATCATCGATGGGATAATCTACGAAACCCGAGTATTGAAAATACTGTATGTGTGCTCAATATAAGATTTGCATCCAACCTACAACCAATTGATAATAGGTGGAGTAGCCTCTTGTATTTAACCCCATGAGCTTCTTATTTTTATACTCGATGTGAGATTTTCTCACTTAACACGCCCCCTCATGTGCAGGCCCACTATGAATGTCGGGTCCTGTAACATGGGTTAACATGCCTCTTTAAATGCAGGCCCGGTATCAACTTCGGGTCCTGTCAGGTGGGCTAACAATGGGTTTCTATAATAGAACCTGAGCTCTGATACTATATTGAAAATACTGCATGTGGGCTCAATACAAGACTTGCATCCAACCTAAAACCAATTGGCAATAGGTGGAGTAGCCCTATTTGTATTTAACCTACAAGTTTCTTTGTATTTAACCCACAAGTTTTTTATTTTTATACTGGATATGAAATTTTCCCACTTATCATGGAGAATGTTTAAACTAGAAATAAGGTTGCGATTTTGAAATGCAATTTAATAGCATGTTTAGTTTGAAGAAATTTAGGGGAGAGATTAGACACGAAAAGTAATGATCCATTAGGTTTCTAGCACTCTCAAACAAAATATTTTGAAATAGACTGAGTACTTAGGATTTCTGTTTCTCTTCATTCCTTTACATTCCTTATGTAACATTTGTGTTTTCCATGATTGATAGCAATTTCAATTCGTCAAGTTAAATTGTTAACGTGTTTGTTTCTAATCTCATCCACGTCTAGATGGAGGCAGAGAACCAATGGATAGAATTGAAGAGGGAATTAAAGAACCTCCCGATGATCATAGCAGTGAAAGGTCATCCAATTGAAGACAGAAGCAAAGCCGTAGAACTTGCTAAGCACCTCAGATACTCCATTAATCATCAGGATATCGCCTCAAATCTTCAACAATCCTTGCCATCCTCCTCTGACAAACCAGCAGCCACACCCCAACTTGATAATTTGTGCTTCAACATTGTCTGTCAAGTTGCCTCCACCCAGCTCAAGATGGAGATCAGGGTCGTCATTAGCGCCCCGCTCCATAAGCGAATCCACTTTGATCAGTTGGTGAAGCTGGCACAGTCAGCAGACGCAAGTTTAATGGTAGTCCAGTGTCAAACCCAGGATGAGAGGGATGATTTAGATGTTAGAGGGGTTGTCAAGCTCGCGGTCGACACCTCAACACCCTTCAACGTTGAGAAACTTGTTAAAAAGATGCTGGATGCCAGAGAGCTGCTTAAGTTGAAGTGGCATTTTCATGCTTTGAAACTCTATACTGACGGTAAGGATGAACAGAATTGCAAACGCTGTTCGAAGAACATTTCCGGTCCCTGCTATCGGTGTGTCGAATGTGATAAGCACGATTTCCATAAATCCTGTGGCGAGTCAGCCAGCAGTTTAGACGGTCTTCGCGAAAATTGCCCCTCATATCTGAAAGGGAATAAGCCTGATTGTAAATATTTTTCAGAGCAGCACAGGTGCGAGAGCTGTAAGGTCAGCAACAGCGACTTCTCCGAGCATTGCCATCATTGTCCGTTTCAAACCAACATGAAACTTGGACATCTGCCAATCGTTCTTCGACATAATTCTCATGCACATCCTCTGAGTCTCATCATCATGCCACACGCCCATAATTACAAGTATGCATGCTGTGCCTGCGGTGAGTTAGGCGAGTCTATCAGCTACCGATGTTTCGACTGCAATTTTATTCTTCATATTGGTTGTGTTCTGTTACAGCCTGTTCTTAAGAAGTTAAGAGCAGACGCCACATACATCCTCTTGCTCTTCACTATGGACTGGGGGAACATGATCTTGATTATGAATATTCTTAATGAAATTTTTGTAACAATGGCAGAAACCCAGAGAACTGGGTTTACGTCTGTGAAGGATGTAAATGTGTAGCTCATATTGCCTGTGCAAGATGACAAAGCAGTGAATGTTTATCTTATTTCTGTAATTTGCTGGTCTGAGAAGCAATGTTTTCAAAACCGGACCGGTCATTGAACCGTTTTCAGGTCCGGTTCCCGGTTTGACCGGTTCAACCGGTTGAACCGGTGAACCGGCCGGTTCAAACAATAAGGAAGGTTTGATGAGAAGAGCAAGCTATAGGCATGGATTTTTTTATTTGGTGTTGATAATTTTGTAATTTTGTTAAAGTTAAAGGTTAAAATGGGTATAAGAAAGGAATGGGAAGGGTGAAATTGGAAAAAATTGAAAGAAAATTGCATGAGAAATTGAACCGGTG